CTTGTGGCCGTCAGCTTTCGACGCCCGCTAGCTGTTCCAAGGGGTGGCCGCCATGTGGTGACGATACAATAGATACTATCCAGGTCAGAAAGTACATGTTTTTCAGAAGAGTAAGGATTGCTCTAGTAGTGATTCTGGTTAACAAAAAAAACAGGCCTAAGAATACCTACATTTACTGGGGCGTAGAATCCATTTTAAGTATTCTCATTTAACACAACATGTATATTAAAAATTTTTATGATTTTTTAAAGAATGTGCCTTATCAAAAACGAGATAAAGGGAAACACCAATGAGCTAAAATACACTTCATAGAGTGGCTGAAGCCCCTCCATCTCTGTAGCATTTTGAAACCATGTTAACTTTAAAAACATTGCTTCATGCATCGGATATTGTCATAAGAATGGAAACTGTTGAAATGTTATTGTAGTTAGTGCAAAGCCTAAAAGTAAATGTTATTTGGTGCGTGAAGGTGGAACAGCCATGCCAGTACATCAAAATGAAACATGTCAAATAATTTATTGCTAATTAATATCCACAATTTGGATTTAATTGCCACGTGTTTTCGTGGCAAAATTGGGCGTGAGCTGGGCGCCAGTACACACAAGTTAAATTAGCGTCGTAGCTCGACGGACACTTCAAGATAATTTATTGCTACAATTTGGAGTTAATTGCCACGTATCGTCGTGACGAAAACGGGTGCGAGGTGAGCGCCAAAACACATAAGTAAAATTCGCATCGTAGCGCGACGAAAACCCTCAGATAATTTATTGCTAATTATTTGTCACATATTTTGGTCGCGAAAACGGTTATTTACAATCCGAATTTAATTTTGAGTGCTGGCTTGACAGGTAAAATCGGCTACATTCTTTTTCGCCACGCAAATACGTAGCAATTGATTCCAAAACGTGGCAATTAATTAGCAATAAATCATTTGAGGGTACACGTCGGCCTACGACGCGAATTTGACATACGTGTGTATTGCGGGCGCTCAGCTCAAACGTATTTTCGCCACGACAGTACGTGGCAATTAATAAGGCAAATTATCTGGGGGTTTACGTTGAGCTACGATGCGAATTTAACTTGTGTGGTAGCGTCACGTTGAGCCAGCTCACACCCGTTTTCACCTGGACAATAGGTGGCAATTTTTAGCAACAAATCATTTGACACACCCGTTTTCACCGGGACAATAGGTGGCAATTTTTAGCAACAAATCATTTGACACACCCGTTCTGACATGGCTGTTCCACATTGAAGCGCCAAATGTTATTGCAATAACATGCAAACAAACTGATCCAAATAAGGCGGTAAACTTTAAAAATGATGTATTTGAGGTTTGGTGACTTATATTTTTACATTTATATACTGAACATACTAAAGGCATCGCGAATATTATTATTCTAACCACTAATATAATTTAAATACAGAAAAGACATCAATGAAAAAATAAGACCTGTTATAAACACCATCAGGCACCTCTCATGTTTTACTGCAAAGAACATGGCGGCGGCGAGCGTCGACCAAAGCTCTGAAAACTTAGGGTGCCACTCTATGTAGTTTATTCTACCTGGTTGGGTAACACCTACTGGGTCCTCCAAACTCATATAAATTTTGGCAAATTGAGAAATATAAAACGTTTTCGCTTGGAAAAATGTATTTTATTGCATTGTCTGAATGAAGTGG